ACTCAGAGTGGCTTAAAAACTCCTTTCCCTTCCCCTCCCCACAACAGACACCCTGTGAGGTAGGTGGACCTTTCAAGAACTGTCCTTGAGAGAACAGCTCTGACAGAACTATGGCTTGCCCAAGGTCATCCATCAGCTGCAAGTGGAGTGGGGAATCAAACCCGGTTCTCCCAGATTAGAGTCCGTGCACTTAACCACTACACCAAACTGGTGTAGAAACAACAACCTCAAAGATTACCACCGTATATGGCTGGACATGTGGCTTGCGATTGGTTTATGGGCCCTTTCTACCTCTCAGTCACTGACTGAGCGGCTGTGAGGAAAGAGAAGATTCACAAACACTCCGGCTGCTCAGGGGAAAGGCAAACCCACGACGGGATGTGGAAAATCGACACGGCCAATGTGAATATGGCCTGCGATTGGTTTATGGGCCCTTTCTACCTCTCAGTCACTGACTGAGCGGCTGTGAGGAAAGAGAAGATTCACAAACACTCCGGCTGCTCAGGGGAAAGGCAAACCCACGACGGGATGTGGAAAATCGACACGGCCAATGTGAATATGGCCTGCGATTGGTTTATGGGCCCTTTCTACCTCTCAGTCACTGACTGAGCGGCTGTGAGGAAAGAGAAGATTCACAAACACTCCGGCTGCTCAGGGGAAAGGCAAACCCACGACGGGATGTGGAAAATCGACACGGCCAATGTGAAGGATGAGAAGTCCAGCAGTGGGGAAAACAGACATACACTAAGACCCAGACGCACTATGGGAAACCAAAGGGCCCCCCCGGGAGCTGAATTCTATGCAGATTTAAACTGAGTCATCACTCGTAGAGCTCCGATTATGCAGAACGGTGCTGCTGTAACAAAGATTTAGCATAAAGCAGTTTCTGAAGCGGTGTGGCAGGTCACAGAAAAACTCACGGTTAAATAAATCAACGATCTTTTTCTTTAAAAAAAAGATACCGTAGATGGGACTTGGCGGCTTGTACCAGCTCCCAAGGGCACCCAGCCAAGTAGGAAGTTCATTCTGGCTTACAAGACAGCTCATGCTTGTTAAAAATATAATAATGGAAAGAGCTCTCGGGGAGCGTGGCACATGAATTCCCCAGTGGAAGGCAGCGGTAATTGGATATTTCCTGCTTCAATTGCTTGCACGTCCTGCTCAATGGAGACTCACGGGGAAACGAGAATGCCATGTGGCTCAGATTACCAGGCACGTGGGTTTCGAGATCCCAGAGCCTGCACCACGCACCTCCTTGGAGCTGCACTCAGTGGCGTTCACACTCAGCAACTCGAACCTCTGGGCCTCCCCAAAGATGCCCTGACCTGAATAGCCCAGGCTCGCCCGGTCTTGTCAGTTCTTTGAAGCTACGCAGGGTGAGCCCTGGCTGGTATTTGGAAGGACGACCTCCAAGGAATACCAGGGCTGTGATGCAAAGGCAGGCAATGGTAAACCACCTCTGAAATGTGTCTTGCCAAAAAACAAACAAACCAAAGTCTAGCTACCCACCTAGTGGTAAAAAGGTAAAGGTAAAGGTTCCCTTGCTCGAAAGCCAGTCGAATCCGACTCTAAGGTTGCGGCGCTCATCTCCGTTTCCAAGCCGAAGAGACAGTGCTGTCCGAAGACGTTTCCGTGGTCATGTGGCCGGCATGACTAAACACCAAGGCGCTCGGAACGCTGTTCCCTTCCCACCGAAGTGGTACCTATTTATCTACTTGCAATTTCTTGCTTTCGAACTGCTAGGTTGGCAGGAGCTGGAACTAGAGACGGGAGCTCACTCCGTCATGCGGCACACTCGGGTCTCGAACTGCTGACCTTTCACAGCCTGTAGTTCAGCATCTTAACCATTTGAGCCACCTAGTGGTGCATAGCACTAAAAAAAGAGCTAGAACTTCTGACTGCCAGACAATCTTAGGATCTCCTGGCTATACCACCCACAGTGTCATACAATAATTAATTTAATTTCCTCAAAGATGAGGTTTTGCACAGAAAAACCAGGCAGGTATTATCATTTGAAAAGACACGACTTTGAGGGGAAAGCAGCTTTGCTTCCTTGCAGACGTCATCTTGCTAGCTGTTCAGAGTATGTAATAAATCCACGATACCCTCTGGAAAACTCACTATAACCACCTCTGTCAGATTCATCCAGTAGCACCTTAGAGGTCAATAACAGTATCAGGAAGGAGGGGGAGGAGGAGGAGGAAGAAGAAGAAGAGGAGAAGGAGGAGGAAGAAGAGGAGGAGGAGGAGGAAGAAGGAGGAGGAGGAAATTGGATTTATACCCTGTCCTTCACTGGGAGTCTCAGAGCGGCTTACAAACTCCTTTCCCTTCCCCTCCCCACAACAGGACACCCCGTGAGGTAGGTGAGGCTGAGAGAGCTCTTTCCAGAACTGTCCGTGAGAGAATAGCTCTGAAAAAAACTTGTAACTGACCCAAAGTCACACCAGCAGCTGCATGAGGAGGAGTGGGGAATCATAGGGAAGGGGTGTCAAACACACAGCCTGCAGGCCAGAACCAGCCCGTCCAGGGCTCTTATCTGGCCAGCGAGCAACTGGTCATTACCAGTTTGGTGTTGTGGTTAGGAGTGCGGACTCTAATCTGGGAGAACCGGGTTTGAGTCCCCACTCCTCCATAAGCAGCTGCTGGTGTGGCCTTGGGTCAGTCACAAGTTCTCTCCGAGCTGTTCTCTCAAGGGCAGTTTTTGAAGGAGCTCTCTAAGCCCCACCTACCTCACGGGGTGTCTGCCGTGGGGAGGGGAAGGGAAAAGGAGATTGTAAGCCGCTCTGAGACTCCTTCAGGTAGTGAAGGGCGGGGCATAAATCCAATCTCTTCTTCTTCTTTATTGTTAATCGAGTTTGCCCGCGTCCTTTATGAAGTTTCTATCTCTGGTGCCTGGCGTTACATTTACGGCACGCATGGCCCGGCCTGACAAAGTGACATTTATGTCAGATCCGGCCTTCGTAACAAATGAGTTTGGTACCTCTGCAGGGTTTTCAAAACAAGAGGCATTCAGAGGTGGTCTGCTATGGCCTGCCTCTGCATAGCAACCCAGGACCTCCTTGGTGGTCTCCCATCCAGGTAGTAACCAAGATTGACCTTGCTTAGTTTCTGAGGTCACATGAGATCAGGCTAGCCTGGGACACCCAGGTCAAAGCAAGAGACATTCAGAGGTGGTTTGCCCTTGCTTGCCTCTGCATAGCAACCCAGGGCCTCCTTGGTGGTCTCTCATCCAGGTACTAACCAAGATTGACCTTGCTTAGCTTCCGAGGTCACATGAGATCAGGCTAGCCTGGGACACCCAGGTCAAAGCAAGCGACATTCAGAGGTGGTTTGCCCTTGCCTGCCTCTGCATAGCAACCCAGGGCCTCCTTGGTGGTCTCCCATCCAGGTACTAACCAAGATTGACCTTGCTTAGCTTCCGAGGTCACATGAGATCAGGCTAGCCTGGGACACCCAGGTCAAAGCAAGAGACATTCAGAGGTGGTTTGCCCTTGCCTGCCTCTGCATAGCAACCCAGGACCTCCTTGGTGGTCTCCCATCCAAGTACTAACCAAGATTGACCTTGCTAAGCTTCCGAGGTCACATGAGATCGGGCTAGCCTGGGACACCCAGGTCAGAGCAAGAGACATTCAGAGGTGGTTTGCTCTTGCCTGCCTCTGCATAGCAACCCAGGGCCTCCTTGGAGGTCTCCCATCCAAGTACTAACCAAGATTGACCTTGCTTAGCTTCCGAGATCACGAGATCGGGCTAGCCAGGGACACCCAGGTCAGAGCAAGACATTCAGAGCTGGTTTGCCATCGCCCGCCTCTGCATTGTGGTACTGCCTGCCTCTCCGTAGCACCCCTGACCTTCCTTGGTGGTCTCCCATCCTAATACAAACCAGGTCCAACCCTCCTTAGCTTCCAGGCTAGCACCTGGAAGCAGCAAGATTTGGGTTGGGGGTGGGTATAAGCTTTCGCGAGCCAAAGCTTTGAATCTGGAAAGCTTAGATCCACAAAACCTTGCTGGTCTCTACGGCGCTGCTAGAGAAGTTCTAACTAGGTTTGCCGGCGATCTGCAGAGCTGGGCATATCCTCGCTAAGGGGCGATACCAGGACGAAAGGAAAACCGAAGACTCCCTGCCCACCTCCTTCCCAGGCACTGGTGACTTTGCGGGAAATCGAACATCCTAGGCAGGCAGGCAGCGCATTGGGGTGATGTGCCCACGCCCCTCCGTCGACTTCTATGCACGTCCCCTGATCGGGGTCAATGCCTTCATGGGCACCTTGCAAGAATCCAATGCACCAATACCCTGCTACCAGAGCAAAGGCAGTGTGATATAGCGGTTACAGCGCCAGGCTAGGAGCCGGAGGTGGAAGGGGACCGGGAGACACACTCGATAAACCCAGATGGAGGAGACTCAAAGGCGGCCGCGTTCCCAAAGGGAGAATTTGGGGGGGGAACCTGGGAGAAGGAACCCTGGTGAAGATCCGCAGAAGCAGGAGGGGAGCCTTTCAGCGACACACACTCTGCGGATGGGGGACACCGAAAAGCAGCGCACCCACCTGCTAACACGCTGCAGAGAGAGCGGCGCCAGCTCATGGGACGAGGAGTCGGAGCCGCTGCCCGGAATGATGGCCGGGGAGGGGCGGGCCCGGGCCAGACCCTGCCGCCGGCAGCAAACCCCTCCCCTCCTCGCACCGGGAGCTTCGCCACGTCATGGCCGCGCGACCACGCCTACGCGCGGGCGTCGCTTATCGATGGCGTCAGAGCGGCGCCGCTGGTTCGGAAGCGACGAGCGCGCGCTGGGTTAAGCGCGTCACGTGAGCGACCTCTGGGACTGGGAAGCGGGGAGGGGAAGGAGCCGGGAGCCTCTTGAAGGAGCAAACCATTGAG